GTAAGTGGAATAAGCAGGGTTCTTAGTAGCTATGATGAGTCCATTTTTTTATTGGGTTGACTGAATTCCATAGACTGGTTATATTAGAGGATATTTTGGATTAGTATTCATTACTAAGGGGTCATGAATGATGCCCGACTTATAATTCCTGTATTCGTATTGGATCATTTCAACCCTAACCTTTTATAAAAGAAAAAAAACAAAGATATCCTTGTAATTTAAACAATTTAGAGAACCACCAACATAAAAACCAACATCAACTTACAAGTTATCTAGAATCAAGTATTAGTTCTTTTGATTTTGAAATTACACCATAGAACTTCTATAAATTATTAAATTAGCTTTTTAAAATGTTGAGTATGCTGCTGAAATGTTAGTGTTCAAATAAAGAATCTGTTTGATGAGACATTTAATTACAAGATTGATATTGAATTTAAAATCTTAAATTACATAATTAAACTTTAATAACATTATTGAAAGTTATTCACAATGTCATTTATTAGAAAAATGGAATTTATTAATTTGACATGTAATATTGGAAAAGTTTTATTAGTATCTAGATGCATTATTAGTTGTAGTGATAGGGCTATTACAATTATTTTCAACTTATTACAGTTTTATTTAGCATCTCATTCTAGTGAACCAAACATAAAAATGATGATGTAATAAATTATTCCTAATTGTGAACCAAATACCATAATCTAATTGCAGTTCCATTACAATGTTATCTCATTGCTGTCACATAGCTTTTTCTTCCAGTCCTAATGTCATTATTTAAATCTAAGGCACTGTAGATCTAGATACATGTGCTTTGACTAAGAGTGAACTCTGTTCAACGTGCAGATTTGAATGAGATCCGGCCAATTCTTCCTCAATTACTTGATGGTAAATGGGTCTAAAAAGTTCTTTATGTGTTATCTAAAATGCTTCTTATGCTATACTTTATACTTGTGTGGAGGAGGTTATTGGAATTTGGTCTATCTGTTTGTTTGTGGATCCACTTTATTATTCTCACTATGGTTTGTTTTTTTTCTTATCTTGTTTCATGAATTGTGAAGAATTATTAAACCTTCATTTTTAGATAATCTTTTACTTAGTAAGTTAATATTGTTGTTTTCCGCAGAGTTTTTTAAACTTATGAATGAAGTTGAGAATGAGGATCTCGTATTCACACTAGAAACTATTGTAGACAAGTTTGGAGAGGAGATGGCACCTTATGCTTTGGGACTCTGTCAGAATCTGGTAAAATTTTTTTTCTCATATTCCTCGTATGTTTCTGTTTTGGAGTTTGACCATACCTTCTTGAAGCTTTCACTATCTTCTTCATCTTCAGGCAGCTGCATTTTGGAGGTGTATGAACACGGCCGAGGCTGATGAGGAAGCTGATGATCCTGGTGCTTTGGCTGCAGTTGGTTGTTTGCGTGCTATAAGTACAATTCTTGAATCAGTTAGTAGGCTCCCTCATCTTTTTGTGCAAATAGAACCAACCTTGCTTCCGATAATGCGCAAGATGTTGACAACTGATGGCCAAGGTATGCATGGTCTTCTTTTTATTCTTAAAAAAAATATTGACAATTGATGGCCAAGGTATGCATTATGCTTTACGGGCATTGTTTGTTACTACTAAGACGCATTTTAGTTTTGCATTTTGGGGTTGCTTTTTTCCGATACCATACCATACTTTTGGCAAACTTGTACTTGGAGATACATTCACAATTCTTTTAAATAAAAAATTTCAATTTTAATAGCATATTTGGTTTATTGAGGAAAACAACGAAGTAACAAATTTGCTTTTTTGGGAAGCAAGGAAGACAACTAATAATTTTTTAGTTTCCAAATGCACCCATAATCTTTTGAAAAAAAGGATTGCATGTGATATATAAAATATTTCATAACTTTCTTAATCTATCTTACCCAAAAACCCAAAATTTCTCTTCTTCCTACTGTAAGTTTTTGTTGTTGAGTTATTACGTTTTCTTCAAAAGATTTGAAGGGCTCTTGATAATGTTGAGGAATCTTATGAACTCAAATCAGTCGCCAAAGAACTCTAAGGCCTAAGCTTATATTTATTTTTATCTTTTGTGAATAGTTAATAAAATAGGTTATGTACTGGTAATTTTTTGTTTATTTCTTTTGCACGAGAAATATTATTTTCCATAGTAATATGGTCTTCCTCAGAGTGATTGGGATACAAAATATGGGGCAAACATGATTCACTGAGGCATTAGGAAATCAATCTCTCAGGTATATTATTCTTTTGCCCTTTGCTTCGATAAGTCTTATGCCGTACCCCATGAATAATCATATCATGTCATGGAACATGAGAGGCATCATGATTCCAGTTATGTTATAGGGGCACTGAGTAAGTGGGAAGGACATGTACTTTGCCTTTAGGCGAACTAAAGTGGGGTTGATGTTGATTTCTTATGAAGTGTGTTTGGAATGTGAAAGCGATAAGGTGGTTTCATTTGTTTGACTTTCCAAGAAGAGATGCAATAGTTAATAATTTGGTCATTCGAAAGGTATCACATTTTAATTCACGTAGTATGAAAGGGGAGGTTTCAGTTTCTTATGAACTCATGATGGTTCTTTGCTGAGGAGTATGGTCACAATGAGCTTAACGTTCATGATATTTCATTGGAAGATGGTTTTTTGAGCATGGCCTGACTCTAGTGGCAAACGGACTTTTTTTTTGGCATTTCCCCTTGTCTGTTGAGGACATGTGGCTGCATGTTGATGGTTTGGTGGACTTATTGTCTACTTTTTGTGAATACTAGAGAGCAATTGGTCATGCTGATTCAAGTTTCTCATGGGCTTATGCATATCAAGAGGGAGGTGAACGAATGGAGCTAGGAGGTTTTTGGAATGTTGTTGTTTGGAGGAATAAATTGATTGTTTTGAATGATAATCCTGATAACAACCTTCTGATTGAGGAGAAAGAAAGCTGATATCAAGCAAAAATGGAACCTTTCCAAATTATTGTTGTTAGGGGAGAACTTTTTGGAGGAAGTGGTCTGGATTATGCGGATGAAGAAAAGGGGTAAAAATTTCCACTGGTTGACTTCCCAACCCTTAGAAAAATTTCATTCTTAAGCTGGTGGCAGGTGAAAGAAAGTGTGTAGCTGAGGCAAACTGCCAGAGAGTTGGATGGTTGGATTCTAGCACTGAAACTTGGAGACCTTGATTGGATGGGTTAAAGTATTTATGCTTGGAAATTGTCTATAGTGGATGCTTTAGAGCTTTTCTATATTGAGGAGGAACTTCATTACGGTTTGAACCCTTGTGATTTGCCAAAGCCCTAGTATTTGTTATGGAAATTTTTTAATACATATATTTTCTACTATTAACTACAGGATTCTGAATCATCTAATGTCTTTGCTCATTCTGCTCCAGTTCTAGGTAGTTTGTGCTCTTCCTTCTTGGTGCTTATCCTTCAGATGGAAGGGGCTTTATGCCTCAAGGAGCTTAGGCCAGTTAGTTTGCTGTTGAGTATTTACAAACTTATTGCCAAGGTCATTAAATTGTCTTAGGTTTTCACTCATTCTGTTGAGTTTCTGAGCAGCACGCACAACAAATATATAGATTGAATCATCTAAGGTCTTTGTTCATTCTGCTTCAATTCTAGGTAGTATGTTCTCTTCTTGGTGCTTATTCTTCAGGTGGAAAGGGCTTTATGCATTAAGGAGCTTAAGCCATTTAGTTTGCTGTTGACTATTTACAAACTTATTGCCTAGGTCATTAAATTGTCTTAGGATTTCACTCATTCTGTTGAGTTTCTGAGCAGCATGGACAACAAATACATAGAAAGGATCTTGTCTGCTTTCCCCTTTCAGCCTTCTAGGTCACCTGAAAGGAGAGATGCAATAGAGCCCTTGAAGATCCATGCTCCCCTTTTTATTTCTGTTTATGGGCATTGGCCTAGTGCCCCTTTTATTTTGTACAAGGGTCACGCTAAATTGTGGGCTTGATTTTGTTGATCTGTTTGTTCTCCTCTTTGATAGAGGTGTGGTAGTGACTCCTTTGTGCCCTATAAATGTTATACTGATCATTAAGGGGATAGAAATCCATTTTTTCCATTTTTTGGACTGTAAAAGCATCATTTTCTAATAATCAAACAATGATTTGAGATACTAACCACTTCCCCTTAAAAGCAATTATATTATATATAATCCCACAATTATCCTAGCAAACACTAAAACTGGCTGCAACATTTCATAAGATTTCGTAGATCGGTTATAAATACTAGTATCTGACAGTAGTTTGTGTTAACTACAGCAAGTGAAGGCATACTTTTTGCATCAAAATGTTTTTGTCTTGGTGCAGCCAGAGTCCTGTTTGTAATATATTTTTTTGGTCTTGTTTAGTGTAACTTGAACAATTTACATAGATCTACTTGATTCATGCCTTGTATTTTTTAGTTTGTTCTAACTTCACCCTTTCTTAAACTGTATTGAGCGATAGTGAAAACTTCACTCTCTCTCTGTGCAAGTTGACCGTTCATTCTTTGAGCAAAATATTAAATCTTCCTTTTCATTCTTTAAAGTGCACATCAGTATGCTTTTCAAGGGAATGCTCCATGGTAAATGTTATTCCATCTCTTCTTCCCTAGAAGTTTCCCGATGATTTATTGAGCAGTATGTTTATAGGAGCCAGTATGCTTGTCAAAACTCTAATAGATTTTTAATTATTTTTACTTAAAGTATCGTCAAATGTATTTGACAATATATATATATATATATATATATATGGCATTTCTGATGTGGAATTTACAAGATCCACTTGAATTTACATTGAGGAGTTACTATAAATGTTGATATCTGTGAATTAACTTTCCATTTTTTTTGGAGAAAAAATTGCCATTAATAATGTATAAAATACAATCCTGGCAAATTGGCGTGTGAATGGATGATTTTAGTTTTGTTTGAAACACCTAAAAATGTTACTGGCAACTCATCCACAGGACAACTCCCAATTAAGAATCTGTGGGAGTCAGCTGAAGAACTCTTATCAAAGTGGAAATTTGGGAGGGGGATGTATGAGTCCTAATAGTACTTCATAGTTGAGATTCTGATTCTATAATAAAAATCTAATTTAATTTTGCAGAGGTGTTTGAAGAAGTTTTGGAGATCGTGTCATATATGACTTTTTTCTCGCCAACAATAACTTTGGATATGTGGACTCTCTGGCCGCTAATGATGGAAGCATTAGTAGATTGGGCCATCGACTTCTTTCCAAGTATGATTTGGTTTGTTGCTGCAAAATGTCTGCTTTTATAGTTGTTTCACATTTCATAGGATATACCAGATTATCCAAGGGATTTGTTGCTTGACTAGATACTGGTGTTTTCATTATTTAAATTGTTATTTGAGCTTTGGTGCTTCCATAGATAATGTTGGTAGGTGTATTTATAACACTATAAAAGGATGATGATGTGGGGGAATAATGATGCTTCTGACTACTTTGGCCATCTGGCTAACAATCTGATTGCTTTTATCTGCATTATGAAGGAGCAAATGCTTTTAATGGTTTCTTGGTTTCTATTCTTGTTCTATTTGCACCTATGCAGTTAGTTATCAGGAGTTTCATAGAATCTCTATCTATCTCTAAAGAGTTGAATCTTTTTTTCCTGAAAAGAACCGATAAGGTGCATATTGTTCCACAACTTGTTTCCCACGCAGGACAGGTTGTAATCATTGAAAATTATTTTATATAACAGGTATACACTGAGGTAACTGCACATTTTATTAATAGTTTTAGAAAATCTCAACTAGGGTTGTAATTGAAATGTGATATTAGATCAGTGTGTATCTGTTGTATAAAATAAATTTTCCCTTGATTTTGACAATCTATTGAAGTCTATTATTTTTTAAAAAAATCTGTTAAAGTCTATTAAATTGGTTTGATATATGCAAGACATAATGGTGTAGCCACTAAGGAAATGAGAAGCGGGTTTGCTATATGTACATTAGTGAAACTACTTTTTTTTTTTTCCACAAAAGATGACTGTTCAACAACTATAACCTGTGCGATGAAGCAGATGAATTTGTTTTCTTCATGCTATATGTTTCAACATACTTCTTGTCTTTAATTTATTTTCATAGTAACTATTTGCTGTAAAAATCCAGATATTTTGGTTCCTCTGGACAACTATATATCAAGGGGTACTGCACATTTTCTTACATGCAAGGAACCGGACTACCAGCAGGGTCTTTGGAGCGTGATTTCATCTGTAAGATACTCTTGGAAGAGTTATGATAAAGTTGCTAATGAGTTCTAACTTTAATGAAGATTAAAAAAGTTGTGTAGGATAAGATTAGGAAAACCTTCAAGTTTATATTGAGAAGAGTCTTACTTCCATTTTGATTTTATTATTTCAATTATCTCCATACGAAATGAAGAAAAAATTATGAGTACATTATGTGTTGTCTAACTTGAGTACGATATTAGTCTTTTCTTTTTTCCATTTTTTTGCTTTAGGTTCTATGTGCCTTTCTTTCTGTTGATTTGGAGTATTCCTCCAGCCAAGACTCAATCCATTGTCCTTTGTTGTATCTGGTGTCATTCTTTTCTTTGTATTTCTCAATGATGAAAGTGTAGAGTAGGAAAAAGTTGGAGAAGGTGCATTGCCAACATAAAATGCAAGGATTTTTTGCATGGTTACTTTTGTTCCTTTTTACAATTCCTTCAATCTTTATTTTTGATATCCTTTCCTATTCATTGTTTTTCCATGCTATGCAGCTCATGACTGACAAAAATGTGGAGGATAATGATATTGAACCAGCTCCAAAGCTAATCGAAGTAGTTTTTCAGAATTGTAAAGGACAGGTGGATCACTGGGTAGAACCATATCTCACAATTACGGTTGACCGGTTACGCCGTACTGAAAAATCCTACTTAAAATGCCTTCTTATGCAAGTGGTAAGAACTCTGGAGGAGAGAATATATTTTTGAAGCAAACATAGTATTCTTTGTTGTTTGTTGGTTATAAGCATTATTGAGGTCTTTGCATGTCTGAAAAGGAGACAGACTGTCAAACAGACTCTGTAATGTGCTTCTTAAGTTAGCTCTCTCTTCCAATCTTTATTTCTGGTCAGTTGGTAAATATAAGATAGCAAAGTGTATTTGTGTCATAAAAATGAGCATTTACTAAACTGCACTTTATTCTAACTTATTTGTTCCAAATATAGCTTTAGTTAATAACAATATATATATATTTTGAGATAAAATCAAGTATATGGATATATATGGATATAAAAAATTAAGTTTGTTTAAGATATAAACAGTTAAGACGATATTATCTATTTTAGTTTATTTCTGGAAATTGGAAACTATTCTTAAAGAAAAG